CAGTCACGAGCCTCCAAGCCTGGATTAAATCCTGATTTCTATATCAAATGTATCATTCAGCAAATACAGTAGATAATACAATTTGAAACCCTGCTATGAGCAGAGACTCTAGGTGCACAGCAGTGATTTCTATTAGGAAAGAGAACATGGAATAGAAGTGGGATAATGAGTGCTGAAATGTCCTGAGGGCCTCGTGAGGGAGGTGACAGAAAGGGAGACTCAGGTGACTTCAGTTTCCTTCCCAAGGACTCTCATGTACAGTGCTGCATTCAAAGGTAACCCGGCTGTGCTCCAGCTCTGGATCTGACTTCTCTAGGCTCACACAGCAGTGCTTCAGCTCCTGTCCTGTACATCTAGGTTTCAAACTGTATAGAAGTAGTTACAACATAAGCATCTTTTGGGTGCTACCAGTGATCAAATACAGGACTTTTCACTTGTCAGGCAAGCACCGAGTCCACTGAGCTATCTCCCCAGCCCAAGCATTATAAATAACTCCTTGTTGGATTGTCTGAGATGAAATTCTTTCTCGCATTTTATACTGGTGTCTCCATTGCAGCACCATGGTTTATGACACTTTTTTTTCATTACTCTTGTCAGAGTGTCACACTACCTATCCCAGGGGGGCCCTGCAAGAGAAGTCTGCAAGAGTTGGGCAATGCCACGGGTAACTCACGGAGTCACCAAGGTGAAACCAGACAGAGGAAGAAGGTTGTGGCTGCTCCTCCCTTGTTCCTTCTTCCTGGCTCTCATTGGAGGCCTACAGAGCCCACCATGCCACACCATGTGCACTGTGCACCTTCCCCAGAGAGCAGCAGTACAGTGCCCAGGCAGGTCTGCTTCTCCATCAGGGCGGCATCTGCTGTCATCCCTGATGCACACATCTTACTGTGGGTTTGGCTCTGGACAAATTAAAAACCAAGAGTGAGGCTATTTTCTTCTTTTGGAACAGTACATACCTATGTTAGAACTGAAAATATAGAAAGTTTGGCATCAAGCGACTTAAGAGAAAGGAGGATGTTCTCTGTGTGTTCCACCCCATCGAGTAATTTGATCACCTGATTGCTCAGGAATGATCACTTGTGCAGTGCATGGAAGAAACAGAGCAGCCAGCACCCAGCCTGGGAGATACAGCTGTTCTCTTGTTTCACTCTGTGCTGAAGGAAAAGAGGAAACGACTGGATTAATAGAGCTGCAGGGGACTCAGGAGCCTTGTCTAGCTCTGAGTGAATGCCAAGCCACAGAAAATTCTCACATTGATTGGGGCTAAATCAGGAGGAATATGCATAATTAATTTTGTGAAACCAATCTACTGTCTATATTGCCTTCTGGCATTCACCAAACTTTAAGTTTACACTTAATAGTTAGTAACATCACAGGTGAAGGAACAAAGAATAGTCACAGTGCCTCCAGGAGTGTGCTGTTACCTGTGACCTTGTATACCTGCTTCGCAGAATTACAAGGGAGAACACTGTTCCACAGCTTCTGTACTTTGGTCCTCGCTCCCTTGGAACATCACACTTCTGGCTTACATAAGTTCAGAGAGCAGAGCACACTGTGTACGCCTAGGGACCTGGAGATCTCTCCAGTGTGCAGCTGTGCTCCATCCCAGGTGACCAGAGGCCTGGAGAGGTGGCCCCAGTACTGATACCCCAGTTAAGAGAGCCCATTCCTTGCATTTAGCATTATCTTTTTTTCCCCCTTCCTCCTTCAGTTTCATAAAAGAAAGGAAGCATTATCATTACATGGGGTTGAGGAAGATAGATTTAACCTGTGAAATATATCACCAGTATTTGAAAATACAACAAACATTTGGAACTATGTCTGTTTTATCCACTCATAATTTCTTTCATAAAAAGAAAATTTACTTTCTCACATCTGTTGATGATCAATAATAATTTTATTAATTAATTTTTTGCTCTTTTGAATAAAGGAATATATATATATATATATATATATATATATATATATAGTTATGTTTTATCTGGTAAAACATGAGTTTCTTTTGTATTCTTTTTTATTTCTTTTATAGAGGAAACTCAGCCTATAGCACCACACAGAAGTTCCTAGGGAGAATTTCCCAAACAATCTGCACAGTCCATTCTTAAGTGCCCTCTCCTTTTCAGAATTTGTTAGGGTTCCCTGAGTCTCTCACAGCAAGGTCACAGCACAGTGATGTCCATGCATGCTACCAGTTCCTCTCATCCCTTGCAGCCCCACTGAGGCACAGAAACCCCGCATCCTAGACAAACACAAGAAGGAGTGTGCAGTTCCCTGCTGCCCCTTCCCTCTGTCCTCGGGTTCCTGGCTCGCATCCACATCCACTCCTACAGGCTCTTCCCACTCGCCCTGTTCTGCTTGCAGGCTGCCCCAAGGTTTGAGTGACTCGTAGGTTGTGAGGTGGTGCAGGGTAGGAGCGGGTGTCAGAGGGACTCACAGGTGATTCCTTCCCCAGCTGTTCAGGCTGAGGACCACTTCCTGTGGTGGAGTCAGCACACCTTTGGCTCCGCCCAGACACACAGCCTCACCTGTGCCACTTCCCCTGCTCAACCTCTAAATATTCTCTCCTGGGTCTAACTTTGGCCAGGGAGGGGCCTGCAAGGCATGAGTGTGATCTGGGCAAGGGGAGCAAGAGCCACAGCCTCTCCCTCCAGTTCAGACACAGCATCTCCAGGGGCACCTTAGGAACCAAGGACACAGGTTCAGCTCAGTATACCCAAGACCTGGGTGTGATGGGAAGCTATGGGAGCCACTGACCTCCCCACAGTACTGCAGGGAATGAATAGGGGGCGCTCAGTACCAGCAGAGTGCACAAGTCACCTCCAGGACTGACTGCAGACCAGCCGGGTTTCAGGAGCAGGTGCTGGGAACCTACAGAGTTGCTCCAAAGAGACCAACAACTGAGCCCAGACTCATATGTGAAGCCACAGTTGTAAAGTTTATCTGAGGCACTAAAAGTTCTCCCTCTGTTTCATTTTTGAACAAGGAATAATAGTCTTATTTTAGGTGATGGCAATTTAGAAATTCAAAATATAATAAAAATGATGATAATAGATAGATAGATAGATAGATAGATAGATAGATAGATAGACAGACAGACATAGGAAATAGGAAGGTAGATCCTCTGAATATGGGAAAGTAACCAACAGATGCAGAGAACAGAGCCCAGGAGGGAAGGGAATTAAAGCCAGCTAAGCTGTGCTCTGTACCTGCACACAAACCCCAGGATAAATGCAATCTTAAGGTACTGTAAATATATGCTAATGAAAATATGAACTGAAAATAAGTTATACACCCAATGCTAAGTGGTTGGAGCATGTAGCTGGGCAACTGCCCCCCTCTAGGTGGAACTGTATGACCAGAGAAGCAGTGGGGAGCCCTGGAGGGCTCCTGAGTACCCAGCTTCTGAAGACCCACAACCCCAGCACTTCCCATTAGGACCAAACTTTTAACCCACAGTCTTGGTGACCCCTAGCACCAACGTTCTATCTGAGACTGTGATGTCTCATTCATCTCGTCTGGGTCCCTGGATTCTCTTGTTCCCTGGTCTATATGGCAGTGCTATTCTCTAAATTCAGGGCTCTTTTTGGGTCCAGTTTTCTCAGAGTGGCTGTGCACTCTCATCAGTAAGATGAGCGTGCTGCTCTTCACGGGTAGGCATTGTTCATGGAACCCTGGACTTGATTTCCGAATTCCCTCGTGATGGCTGTTCTAACACCCACAGCATCCCTATGAGCTCAAGTGCTAAATTGGTATAGATTCCGTGGAATGTGGACTCACAGTGCTGCCTGCCTCACATGCCCATTGCCCCAGAGGCTACTGTGCATCACCTGCACCAGCAGGCCTGTGATGCTGGGGGAAGCTCAGCTTTCATGGGAATGGAATTGGGGCTGGAGATCAGTGAGGACAATCACGAAGCTGAGGCATGAGATAACATCTTCTCCCCATGGCTTGGGGGGTTAGATGTGTCATAAACTGCTGAATAGCAAAGAGGAATCATTGGCCATGACGCCAGCTCACAGGTGCTCGAGTAAGAGTGTCTCATGTGGGACACAGTGAGATGTGCAACCTTATAGTCTTGAGCAGGCTTGTCGCATTCTTCCTGCAAATAAGAGCATTTTTACCTTAAGATGAAACGCTGATATTTTTCACAGGACTCCCAAGTTATGCCTTGTAGGATTCTACACAGAATCCTTCATCTGAGAGTGCCACATTCCCCAGTATTTGAGTGGGGATATTGTGATACCACAATATGAAAAGTAAATACAGATTTTCTTTATTGTATTGGAGATTATATATATATATATATATATATATATATATATATATATATGTGTGTGTGTGTGTGTGTGTGTGTGTGTTTATTATGAAATTAAACCTGCTTAGTTGATTTTAATATATAAATTGATGTGACAGAAGCCAATAAAACAATTTTGTCACATTAATTATTACAGTACACCTTACTACTACTAAATTGAAAAGCACTCCAAAAGTAATTGAAGACTCTAGTATGACATCCAAAGAATGTAGGAAATGAAGCCGACCTCTGAGACTCTGACACTGAGGAACTAACACGCGGGACTCCCAGTGGTGAGGGGAAGCTGTCTATGGTGGTCAGCATGGGGTCGGCTCACTGGACCACAGATGTAGAGGCCCAGTGTGAGGGAAACCTTGAGTCTGCAGAAGGAAACGCTGCCTGTCTCAGAAGTGATGTAATAAACGCAGCAGAGAAGACCTAGAGGGCTGGCTCAAGTGTAGGCATCAGTGTGCAGCCTCTGTTCAGTGTCGATTTCTGGGCATGTAACTGCCATTCACACGGAGGACTTGGCCAGCATAGACTTCAGGACACAGTCTCAGCCACCTGAGCAGGGCCACACAAGATATCAAGATATGCACCCTGCTCTGGTCCAGTGAGGGTGGAGGAACAAGAGTAATATGCAAATCTCTGGGGGTCATAGAGTAGAAAGCTGAGGTTCCTAAACTCACACAGCAAGAGCTGCACCCCATCTGTCTCCCAGACCCCTGAGTTCAAACTCCCTCAGCATGGAGTGGGCATGCAGGCTCCTTTTCCTGCTGGTCGCTGCCCCAGGTAAGGACCAAAAACTCAAGATTGCAGAGGAAATTCAGCCAGCTCCACTGTGCCCAATGCTCCTGTGTCCTCTCCACAGGAGTCCACTCACAAGTCCAGCTGGTGCAGTCTGGACCAGAGCTGAAGAGACCTGGAGAGTCAGTGAAGGTCTCCTGCAAAGGCTCCGGGTACACCTTCACTGACTATGCTATACACTGGGTGAAACAGTTGCCAGGGAAAGGCCTACAGTGGATGGGCTGGATAAACACCAATACTGCAAAGCCAACACACGCTGAGGGCTTCACAGGACGATTTGTCTTCTCCCTGGACGCCTCTGTCAGCTCAGCCTATCTGCAGATCAACACCCTCCAGACTGAAGACACAGCCATGTATTACTGTGCAAGGCACAGTGAGCAGACCACATCCTGAGAGTGTCAGAAACCTGGGGCTGAGCTCACTCTGGCTGAGGAAGCAGCAGGGACAACTAACTCTGGTTTCTTTGATTTAGATTATGATTTCACAGGAGAGACATTGAGGGACCTGATTTCTGGTGGTCTGTTGCACAGGATTATTTGAATTTTCTTCTTGAGTTTGCGAAGGAATCCAAGAGAAAAGATTGGATCACTGGTTTTCTGAGGAGAATGTGGTGTTGGGAAGTGGGGTGTAGTTGGAGGAGCTGGTTCATTGGGACTTTGCCTTTAACATGTGTCTATTGCTTTCCCATTCTCTTCCCCTGTGATCTGCTGTGCCCGCAAAGTTGGAGTGCCTCTGCTACATGCTTGTACCTTGAACTTTCTCATTTGGATTCACCTGAATGATGTTTCAATGCTCTGAGTTCAAGGACAAAACCATTCACCCTTTATGTGTTACTGTTTAGAATGAGATTCATAGGAGTGCAATTTGTCCTAGCCAAAACCTAAAAACAATCAGATATCCTTCAACTAAGGAATAGATGAAGATGCGGTACTTTTACACAATGGAGTATAATTCAGCTATAACATAGGACAAATTTGGAACTTTTGTTGGTAAATGGATACAAATGGAGAACATACTCTTAAATGAAATAAATCAGACAGGCGTGTGTAAACATAATATTGTCTCCTTCCTGTGACAACTTGATAGAAAAAATGGAATCGAAAGGGTACAATTGATACTGGGAAAAGGGAATGAACTTATTCAATGGGAAAGAGTTACTGAGTTGAAAAGAAATAAGGGAACTCTTTAAAAACTAAGAAATGACAAAACATAATGTGATTCATGAAGGACAAGGAAGAATGAGTGTCCAATGATATATGAGTGGGATAAACAGAGGAAGCTGTGGCAGTTTCCTGAGCAGGTGTCTCTGTGTTTGCAGGTGATCAGGGTTGGCTGCAGCAGGTGGGGCTAGGAGGTGTGGTATAGTCTCAGAAGTTCCTGCAACTGTCCTGTGCAGTCTCTGGATACTGCATGGACTGGGACTATCAGACTACAGGGAGGGGCCTTGAGTGGGTTGATCTGGTTAAAAATGGGAAGAAAGATAATAGAGAACAGACTCAATATGTCACATCTGTGAAAGGAAGGTTCACCCTTCCCAGAGAGATTGCAAAGGCAGGACCTGCAAGGCCACAGTCTAAGGTCCCAGGATTTAGACTTGAATTAGTGAGAGAGAGGCAGTGAGGGGACATCAGGGTAAGTACAGACTTAATCCTTGTATGAAGGCCCTCATGAGCAGCAGGGGAGACCTGAGGATCAGAGAATGGGCAGGTGCAAAGGTGAGTACCATTAAAGGCTAGAGTATCAGTTTTTTTTCTTGTTTCTGGGACAAAATATTCAACACCCAAAATTAAAGAAGGAAAGATTTTTGTAGCTAACAGTTTGTGGAGAATTTAGTGGATATTTGGCTGGCTCTAAGGCTGAGTGACACATGACAGAATGTAGCAATTTATAGTGCCAGAAAAAAGCAAAAAAGCAAAAGGGGAGTAGATGCTGCTTCTAGCATGCCTCTCTCTCTCTTCTTTACATGATCAGCAAGCTGTCCTCAGGTGAGGGTGTAGAACTCACACAATGTCTATACCTATCTCTTGCACATCTTGAGTATGTTTACAAAGTAAAAGCCTTACCTCTCTATTCAATCACTTAACTTTTCAGTTTTTCAAGTTGACACACTATATCAACCAGTATAGCTGATTTCCTGTCAGTGCCTGTGATTTCTTTCCCTCTAACTTCTTTTCAGATTCATACATTAATTTTTCTATTTATTTCCTCAACAAAACAACCTGGGGCACTGAGGAGAAGTGGCTTGATTCAGGTCAGGAACATTTAGAAGAGCCAGAAATGAGAAAGATATCACAGTGAAGGATGAGGGTGCAGGGACCTGCTCAGAGTGGGTGGGCACATCTCAGTGCCCAACAGTTAGACTGCAGGTGTATTACAGCGACAGTGAAAGCAGAACCCAGAGGACAATGCTGATAAAATTGCAGCAGTGAAGTATGTATAAGGACACTGGATTCCATTCCCAACTATTAAGTAAATACACATGAGTTTACAGAGCCATAAATTACAAAAGAATAAATAAATGAAGGGCAATGTGTATGAGTCAGAAGTCTGCAGGCAAACAGTGCATTTCTTAACTTATGTGTCTGTGTCACTGCTTGTCTTTTTATCCATCCATCCATCTGTCCATGACATTAGTACTTATCTTTATAAATATAGTTTTAACTTACTCATAAATGATGCCCACTGGTGCCTCAGGGGTCCTCCACTGTACAGAGCACTCTTAGAGTTCCTTTTAATGTGTTGGAGATATCAAAGTGCAAGTAACTCGATGCCTCCAGGTATGGGTAAATGAAAAGGTCATGGAAGGATGATTACCCAACTTCATCAGGGTACACCATATGCTTGTGATGAAATATTGCACTAGACACTCATACTACGTGCAATTATTACATGGAAATAAAATAAGCTTTTTAGAGTTAGTAGTACCAACTCAAAATTCTGAATTTTCAGACATGAGGGCAGATAGTGCAGTCCACAGTGTTGGGTTTCCACAGTGAAAATGCCTGGACCTGAGCTCTAATCTTCACCACCATGTACTCCTGAGATCTTAGGCAGCATCCAACCTCAGAATAAAGGAGATACCTTCTAAGGCAGAGATAATCATTCCTTCTGTAGGCTTTTTATATGATTTTGTGTGTATGCGTGTGCGCTGGCTTGGCCTGCCCTGGGAGTAGGGCTGGCAAAACATGTGATGTCAGTGATGGAATCATGGTCCCGGAGCCTGCCTAAGCTTGCTTAAGCAGGTGCTGTAGACAGCTGAACCATGTCACCGACCCTCTATAAACTATAGAGTGTCCAGGATGACTGTCAGGAATCATGAAGTTTCTTGCTCCAGTGGAGATAATATTTTGCTGAAATTAAAATCTTCCAGTAGTGGTAAAAAATGAGATATTCCACATTTCTCAGATATTCAAATACGATCCTGATGATGAGAGACTTCCCAGTGTATCACCGAGCAAAGTTTTTTTTTTTTTTCCCAGCTGTGTATTAAATGCTCTGAGGATGTATTGGCCATTCTTGTCATCCAGCGAAGAGAGATATACAGGTCTGGGGTGCTCATGTGAACACTCAGTTTTCTATGGGTTGATCAGGACTGAGCACCTGAGTTCTACTTCAACAAGGCTGGGCAATTACATAACTTAAGCAAAATATCTACACCACACTAAAACAAAAGCACATGCTTGCTAGAATGAACATAAAACTCCTCCATGGAAACCCTGGAAATCAGCAGTATTGAATGAATATCCAAGACTCATAAGTCACAGAAGCCAGTCTAACTTATGGCAAACTTGGTGTCAGGATCATTTTAGTCTGAACTAAATGGCAGTGTAACCTTGAGCTGCTCCCACAATATGTTGGAGCACAAATTACTTGATGAAAATGAAAATGGTTTGGAGTTAGAATCCTTCACTTTAGACCAGTATGCATATTATCTATATTTACCTGTAGTGTCTATGTTTACCTGTAGTGTCTACCAGTAATGCCTGCATGCATATGTACACAAACAAATGCCCAATGATAAGCATATTCTCTCCCACTAATAGGTGGAGACTGAGTTGTGGTTACCTTAGGACAAAACACTTGTGAATATTCAGATCCATGAAAGTTTGTCTGCTGCATGTCTCATCCTGGAGTAAGAGGACAGTAGGCCTGGTGCAGTGAAATTCAGAGTCAAAATGGAGCTCAGTGAGGGCACAACCAACAGTACTAGCAAAGGGACCCAGCCCTCTTCCTCTGTGCCTTCTGTAAAAGTGTGCACTTTACCTGAATATATTCAAATAAGCATCTGGATTAAAAGAAAGCCATCATTTTATTACATTCAGGGGCATATTTTAATTTGAAGACTTCAGTAGGATTTATAGAGCTTATATCCAAGCAAATGCAGCAATATTGGTTCCCTGAAATTTGGCTGGTTGTTTACAGAGGTGAGGTTCCAAGAATGAGAAAGGAATAGAAGGGGAAGATGTGTATGACCCAAGACTCACTGTGTTCTCTTCCCCAAGTATTATTTCCCAGGTTCAATAATCAGGGCCTGGAAGAGTGAAGTCTTTGTAGTCTCTGTCTCTTTGGTCACTCCACCACCATCCCTAACACCTGAAGCTGGATCAGTCTGTCCTCAGGCAAAGGACTGGAATGCATAGAATTCAGTGGTAAAACTGGAAGCACTGATTCAAAACCATCTTAGAAAGTCTAGTCAGCCTTTCCAGCTGTCATAATACCATTGTGGCAGCAATTAAGTTTGGTGAAATCTGAGGGCACAGCCCTGTGTTACTGCGCAAGAGAAATAAAGGACATCAGTGTGAGCCCAGAGGAAAACCTCCTGCAGGGCTGCTCCCAGTGGCAGGGGGCGCTGAAGATCCACTGAGCACCTGCAAGGACTCCAGGAGCCATGGCAGAGGAGGACTCTGGACTGTGAGAGCTTTGGTCATCTTTGGGATATTCCCTCTGTCTCACAATCACAAGACCTGAAGACCCTGGACTACACTCATCTAGTACAGTTCACTTAAGAGCTATCCTCTTCTACAGAAAGTAAAGGATCATTTGGGTATTTTGAAAGCCAAGTTCACCTTTCATCACCAAAAAAAATAGATTTGTTATGTTTATTAACAGCAAGGGAGATTATCTGATGCAGGAATCAAAGACTCTGATTGAGAAAAAAAGTCTTCTTTACTCATCTGCATAGGGTTTGAGAAGACACAGCTCTCTCCCCTCCTGGTCCACTTCAGGAGATCTATTCACAAGGCTCAGTCCCAACACCATGTGGAGTCCTGTACTCAGCAGAGGAGGGGAGAGGGACACCTGGAGTGCACTCATGGCTGTGTCCAGGGCCTCTCTATAATCTCTTTCCAGAGGGGCTATGCAAGACAATGATGATTAACAATTACACATATTTC